TCCATTATGGGCGACGATACACGGCAGAACCAGTTCGGCTGCCAATACGTACGCCCTGGGTCGCCCTGGTGATACGGATGTGTAAGGCGAAAGCTTCGTCGGCGCACCTTGGCAGGTCTCTGGATAATCATGCATTTTTACACCACTCGAATTTGTACCTCCCCGAATATTTAGCAATTATGTGGGCCCTTATGGACATCGGCCGCGGCGTTGTCGCCTGCATGGTCGCCACGAAATATAAATCGACCCGCATACCCTACCCGCCGTCCGTATCCAACTGCGAAACCTTCGGGTATGGCATCGTGCCGCTGCCCCCGCCGGGCGGTGTGCACGAGGATGAGGGATGGTGGGTGGCGGCGGCGGTAGACAACCACGCAGAAATGTTCCTCCCTCTTTTGGAAACTATGTATATGTGTAGCCATCTCGTTGTCATGCTCATCTATCTGTAGATACATGGTGTTTGAAGCATAGCGGTATGCGACGCATACCTCTAGTATATTATTTTATACCCAGTGCATGGCGCGCATTAATTTCGCTATAGAGTAACTGCGCACGGATAAGCGTGGCGATGGTATAACCTCATGCGCTATATTTTTGATAATAACTAGCATCATGATTAAGAACTATAATGTATATTGTATATTGTTTACTGTATTGTATTAATTTTTTCCACGCTTCGCAAATGCGTGGCGGATTTACGGTTTCTTTGCAGACTTGAACTTGTATTATGAATGCCACGAATGGGAGCTGGATTACGCGGGCGAAGTAGTTACCAGGTTCACCCTCAGCCCCATTGAACTGCCGGCAGACACGCCCTGGGTTGCGTTCCTGCTGCAAATGCTTGAGGGGAACCCCTGGTCCGCACATCTGGGAAGGACGATCGGAAATGAGGAATTCCTGTGGGGGTCGCATCTGACCCTCCCAGAGTATATGACCATCATGCGAGCCCTGCTAGCAGGCGGTTACGGCATCGTGGCCTGCTTGTTAGCAGATCGGCTGGTTTCTCCCAATGTTCCACACCCGCCTAGTGTGACGGCCTGCCAGTCACTCATACGTGGGAGCATACCTCTGCCCCCACCGGGAGTGACGGCGGCTTCAACATCGTGGTGGGAAGGGGCGGCCGCAGACGACCACCGACAAATTCTAGCCCCTATTTTGGATAGACCGATCGTCTCGTACCGGGCGCCCGCCGACCTCTTTGTGCGCGATGATTCGGATTTAAATAGCGCGCACTCCGAGCGGGCGCCACGTGAGCGGCGCCGCATCTTACACCACCCCCTCCCAGACGCATAACAATACAAAGCTACCCGACCACCCCTGCCACGTCAAGACCTCGTTCACTATTTTCCGATATGCCGCTAACCATTCTCGAACCACAACAGCGAATGGGTTCCTTCGACCCAATAACGCCTACCCTTCAGTCCTACCGCAACGACTT